TGGTGTAAGGTGGTGTCTCAATGTGGTTTTGATTTGAATTTCCCTAATGGCTAATGATGATGAACATTTTTTCATGTGTCTGTTAGCCATTTGCATGTCTTCTTTTGAGAAGTGTCTCATCATGTATTCTGCCCATTTTTTGACTTATTTGTTTTTTGGGTGTTGAGTTTGAGAAGTTCTTTATAGATATTGGATACCAGCCCTTTATCTGTAGTGTCATTTGCAAATATCTTCTTCCATTCTGTGAGTTGCCTCTTTGTTTTGTTGACTACTTCCTTTGCTGTGCAGAAGCTTTTTATCTTGATGAAGTCCCAAAAGTTCATTTTTGCTTTTGTTTCACTAGCCTTTGGAGATGTATCTTGGAAGAAGTTGCTGTGGCCGATGTCAAAGAGGTTACTGCCTATGTTCTCCTCTAGGATTTGGATGGATTCCTGTCTCACGTTGAGGTCTTTCATCCATTTTGAGTTTATCTTTGTGTATGGTGCTAGAGAATGGTCGAGTTTCATTCTGTATATAGCTGTCCAATTTTCCCAGGACCATTTATTGAAGAGACTGTCTTTTTCCCATTGCATATTTTTCCTGCTTTGTCGAAGATTATTTGACCATGGAGTTGAGGGTCCATAACTGGGCTCTCTATTCTCTATTAATAAAAGAATAAAGTCATCTGCCCATGACAACCCTGAAACTGTGAGAAGTCTCTCTCAAGATCTCTACAAATCCCTGTATCCTTCCCCAATTGCTCATTTTCCTTCAAATACCAGCATTTAAAAACAAAGATACCAATTTTTTTTTAAGATTTTATTTATTTATTTGACAGAGAGAGACACAGCGAGAGAAGAGACACAAGCAGGGGGAGTGGGGGAGGGAGAAGAAGGCTCCCCGCTGAGCAGGGAGCCCGATGTGGAGCTCGATCCCAGGACCCTGGGATCATGACCTGAGCCGAAGGCAGACACTTACCGACTGAGCCACCCAGGCGCCCCAATACCAATTTTTTTTTAAGATTTTATTTATTTGATAGAGAAAGCAAGAGAGGGAACACAAGCAGGAGGAGTGGGAGAGGGAGAAGCAGGCTTCCTGCTGAGCAGGGAGCCCGATGCGAGGCTCAATCCCAGGCCCATGGGATCATGACCTGAGCCGAAGGCAGACACTTAACGAGTGAGCCACCCAGGCGACCCAAAACAAAGATACCATTTTATATTTAGTTTTATTGCCTTAATCTTCCAAACATAATAATGCTTTTCATGAAAAACAATTTTTGGGTATTTCAAACTTAAGCTTTTGTGGGGTTGGTCTTTTAATCTAATATTCCATTTCAAACCCCTTTTCAATGGAAAAATGTATTCAAAGCACTATCCAATTAATTAGTAAATGTTTCTGACATATAAAAGTCCTCACACTAAAAACATTCTAAAAATGTACACCTCCTGCAATTTAAGACTAAATGTGAAACTTCTTTTAGAGCATCAGAAGTAATTTTGTGGAAAATCATAAGGTGACTACCATGGATATGTCTTCTTTAAGAGGGCAAAGAAAAAAAAAGGTTCAGAATTTTTGTAGCCTTGTAGAAAAGTCTGGGCTGGCCATGCTGAAGAGGAATAATAATCACATATTAAACCTAAAGCTGAACAATTCATAAATATACTCAAACTGGCAATCTATTAAGGGAAAATCAAGTTTATACAGTTTATACAGTTCATGTTGCAAAGCAAAACATAAGCCTTACCTTAACACAACCTTCCAATGCACTCAATTTAAACACTGCCTGAAATGGTTTTCGGTCAACAGGACATGAAGCCAGTATCTGAAAAATGATTAGCAAATTATAACTTCACAAATGTTTCTTTAGAATAGATCAAAATTAAACTATAACAAATGCATTTATAGTAAGTTTTCCACTGGAAAAGGAAATAGAAAAATAATTTCTCTTCTTTCAAAGATAAAATAATTTCCACCTGTACCATGTCAGAGTAATAAATGTCTTAAATTTGTTCAATTCATTCAGACATTTATTAAGCACCTACTGTATGCTAGATAAGTGCACTACAACAATCAACAAGAGATAAAATCTCCATTATCAAGATATCAAGATAATACCATTTAGACCTGCTTGCCCAGCTGAGAACTACTGGTATACTGAAAGGAGAACTACACTGAAATCAACAGCTCTTATGACCTAAAGCACTTGGGCAACTGTAGATCAGCTGCAAAAGAATGGTTTGGACAGGTCCCATACAGATTTTGATATTCTATGACTTAATATTTCTCCCCAAATCAATTCTTTTGAATAAACAGTTATACCAGCAATAACTTCTCCAGAAGTAGTTTCCTATACATCCTTTAGGGCATAGCCAACACATATACGTATATATGGTGTATCTTTTAATATATAGGTAATATTAATTCATATGCTGAACTGAATTTTTTCTCTTAATTATCTATCTTAAATTGGTTTATATTATTATTTCTGAATGGTCCCATTCTCAATTAATAGCATGGTATGCTTAAGGGTTTTAATTTACACTTCCTTTTATATAAGTAAGACTGGGCATATTTTCATATTTTTAAGAGCTTTTCAAAGTTCCTTTTTTTAAAATTCTTTATTCATGCCCTTAGCCTAACTTTTTTATTAGGTTTCTGGCCTTTTTAAAATTGAATTGTATGCGTTCTTTATAGATTAAGGAAAATTGTCTTTTGATCACTCTGATTCTAAATGAACTTTACTTTGCTAAAATTATTTCCTATACTTTCAAAATAAATACATATCAACTATAGCAGTTTCTGTCATTAGAGTATTTAAATATTTGTATAGGAATAGGTTTATATTATTTAAATAATTTAATATGGAGTATGCTGCCCATTAGAGTAGGAGGGAAGATTCTGTACCATATAAAAATACCAAAAGGTGATATTATTAGTACTTACGGTTATAAAAGTAAAACAGGATTTTAACAATGAATAGCAACAGTCCCACAAGATAGTAATGGAATTTGATAAATTATATTCTCTAGTGAAAAATGTTGTCATTTTTGCCTCTCTGGACTTTGGAACGTATCAAGATATGCTTATACAAGCCCAGTAGATCAGACTATATGAGCCTTTGATCATAGAATACATTTTCACAAAGCCTGTGAATCACTTTGGGAGCAGCCAAAATATAAATTGAGTTACTTTTTACTACTCTAAAAAGTAGTTTTTCTTTTCCTTTTAAGTAGGCCTTGATAAAATGCTTTACCCACATCTGAATTAGGAAATGTGACCTTACTGCATTCAATCAGTTCAGACTGGTAGAAGCCAGCTCAGCTTACTTCCAAGTACTATGGATTTAGGATGCCATTACTTCCCTTACAGAAAACTTGACCTTAAGAAGCTTTGCAACAAGTAGTGACAAAGCTGTCCACGTCTCTTTTAGTAATGCACTGCAAATAGCAATTCTAGTTCAAGGAATTCAACTATGTGATTGTTGTTTACCATATTAGCATTTACTGTATGAAATTTCTTAAACTAGAAGTTGCATTAATACATTTATAATTCAAAATAATATTTAAAAGTAAAAATTTTCAGGGCACCTGGGTGGCTCAGTTGGTTAAGCGCCCAACTCAGGTCAGGACCTCAGGGTTGTGGGGTCAAGCCCCGTGTCAGGCTTCACGCTGGGTGTTGAGCCTGCTTAAGATTTTCTCTCCCTCCTGCCCCTCCCTCTCTCTGACTCTCTCTCTAGTTAAAAAAAAAATTTTTTTTATTTAAAAAAAATAAAAACTTTCAAGTTCCTATAAATAACTAAAGTTTCAGAATATACTTATTTCTATTTTAAAGGTAAATTCAGATAAACATTCAAAAAAAGGTAAAACAAGGGCAGATGAAAACTTTGTTTCTATCCATGTTTTTTAAAAAGCGATTAACAAAGATGTACGGAAGCTCTGAATTTACTGTCTACTTTCATATCTTGCCCTGATAAGTAACCCTGAGCAAGTTATAGACTTTGTGTGTCTCAGTTACCTCATCTGTGAATATGCAGATAATAGAACCTCTCTCTAAGGTTCTTATGGGAATTAATGGAATTAATCTTAGAAGAGTGTATGGCATATACTAAGCATTGTGTAAAATCTTCTAAATTTAATCTTAGAAGAGTATGGCATATACTAAGCATTGTGTAAAATCTTCTAAATATCAACTAACTTCACTGCACAAACAAAAACAAAAAAAGCTTAGTTCATTAACAAAAAGACAACCTACCATATGATGTATACATGAATGTGAGAGACAGGAGTTCTTAATGATTTTTTGTTGGAATTTGCAAAGTTCATGACATATATGGAAACTAAAATATTTCATTTTATCTATTTCAATTTGTAACACTAAGATGGAACAAAGAAAGAAAGCCACTGTGTTCAAGAAATTTACTCTATATTAGGTGCATCGAATCTTTCAAAAACGCTGAAATTACATAACTGTATTTTCTTCCTTATGAAATTTCCTCGTTTGACACCAGCTAAATGGCACTCCTGTCTTGAAAACTGACAGTCTGAACCTGAGCCATTCCATTTTGATTGGTTTCAAATAATAGGGTTCTGAGTAAGATTTTGGTTTTGTTCTCTTCTCCTTAAGCAAAATTGCCACAGATTTAAGGTTTCATTTGAAGAAAAGGCTCCACTGCTCTTACAAAAACAAAACAACAACAAAAATAGTCGGAAAACCACTGTTATCTGTTATCAACAATTTGTATATACTTACATTTTCTAAATCTAGTTAGTACCAGAAAATAAGTTAATAGATTTTCTTTAGCTCAGGCTCAGCCATCAGAAAAAATGCTGAAACCAAGTTATCCTCCCCAGTTAAGGAAAGCATAGGTCAGAAAACAAGCTACCTATAGTAGACAAAGTATCTTTGCTATGGCTACTTAGAAATGATGATATCCAATTCTGACCTCAGAACAGTTTAACAAAACATTTCAAAGGGGAAACAGAAAAGAAATTCGGTTATCCGAGTTAAGTCTTCATAACATACTTCAATAAATTAAGATTGACTAAAGAAGAATACAAAAGAAATCAAAACAGATTTTTAAAAAATTAAGTAGATCACTAATTTTTTGTTAATGTATACTATAAGAAAAGTACACATGGCAAAGTTCAAAGACACCATCATTAACAGGTATTAATGCATAAAATTACACATAACGTGATGATCAAATGCCTTTACTAGAAAGTTTTACAAATAGGGTTTTAAAAATGGTTTACATTGGCCTAATTTTAAAGCATTCCCAAGGGTAACTTCACCCTTATATCCAACAGATATCCATTCAGAAAATGTCAGATATTTTAATCTTAGTTTTCATGGTTTGTGTTACTAATATAGCTGATTTAGTTTTCAGTTGTGTGGTTTTAAAAATGCACATTTAAAACTAATGTAGAAAATTTTGAACTAACATACTTATTGTGCTTAAAAATGTAATTTTAGTTTTGAAGAAAATTATCAAATTTTGTTTTCCTTTTACATAACAAAAATAAATACCCCTTAATTATTCACCATTTTGATTCCTTATATACATCAAAAATACTCTTCAATTAATCACCAATTTAAGCCAATGACTTTCATTTCAATAATCTGTGAAGTATCTAATTTAGTTTCATAATCAAGGTAGTTAAATATCACCATTCAACTTGATAAAGCTACAAAATTAATAGAATCTGATCACTGCTTTACAATGTAATGTGTATTAAAAAACAGAGCATAATTTTATTGTGAAAGCTCTGTACTAAGGTTGTATCAGTGAAGGAGGCAATTTTGATAGAAATAAAAAAATCTTCCTAATGATTTCAGTAAAACATACCCTAGTATTCTGAAGCGTTGTAAATTCCCAGCTCAGACAAACCCATATTTAAATGTAAGAACAGGAAACCTTCCTTATTTGGAATTCAGGATTCTTGATTTCTAATATTTCTTGCTTCCTGTTGCTGCTCTATCCTCAATCACAAAGGCTGCCTACAGATAGCCCCTCCTAGAGAGAGAGAAGCAAGTGTTAAAGGTAAGTGCTTAAAGACTAAATCTCAGTACCTATATTTACAAGTAGGTTTGTCTGCTCATGGGAATCTCTAGAACATTTATCTTTCCTGCTAACAAAGAGAGCACATTATATAAAACTACAGTTCAAAAGTAAATAAAAAGGATTTAGGAATGCATACCATTAGAGGCTTATTTTAAAAATCTATTCACAAGAACCTATTTTCCTTGTTGATGGTTCTAAGATACCTAGCTTAGACACTTCCAAAGAAAGTGTTCACCTGTAGTCAGACAGACTACATGTTCCCTATCACACTTAACCAGTTCAAGACAGTCCTTGTCAATCCACATTAGTAAAACTGTGGTTCTTTCTAACAGCTTTCAAGAATATATTCCTAAAGAACAAATGACTGTCAGTGATAAAATTAACACTAAGAAAGCATTTTATCTAACTACTCAAAGGGAACCCTTTCTTGTTCTTGAAGATACAACAGTTGGGTAAGAATTACTTTTAATTCTAGTTTCTTTTTACATTTAATAGTTAATTATTTCTTTAGAAAAATAAAAACAGTAAATTCCTTAACTACCTACACAAATCATTTAAAAATTCTGACATTTAAAACTAGGCTATATAGGAATACGCCTTACTTTACCTAACTGGTAAAAACAGTATTAAATAAAAATCTATGACATTTATGCTTTAAATAATGAGTGTTCACTTTAAATAATGAGTGGTTCACAATGTAAAAATGTAAAAATACTCTTTGTTCTACCAAAGGTTTTACCAAAGGATTAATCCATGAGGTG